ACAAGAAAATGCTTGAATCGTCCGAAACGAAATTTGTCTATCAATATTAACTAATATTCTTCCTTTCGTCGAGGCCCAACGCCGTTTAAAGCAATCCTCAAACTGTCATTTCCCATCCCCGGAAATTTCACACTTGCCAATTTCTCTATTAGGACCCCCTCAGAGAAACAACCCCCCGCGGACAACCAGCAAAGGCTGCCGATCGGGGGTTGAAGCAGAGACAATGAGTGAGTCGCATCGAGCAACCCCTTTACGGCGACGGTGTCACAACATTTGGGCCCAGGACAGAGTTATGGCCCTTTTTCCCGCGATTTCGTCCTTCGATCCCGTCCGTCGAGGCCGGTGACCGACCAGGCGGAACAATTTCTCGGTGATTTCCCTTTTAGTCACTTCCTTTTGCTTTTCCATCTTTTTTCATTCACCGCACTCGCTCGCCTAGAAGCACGAGATGCAAAACGCTGCGGGCTGCTGCGTTTCCAGCCCGGCGAGCTCTGATTCGCGCGACTACTCTCTCACCCCCGTGGAAGAATTCCTTCAGGGGATGCGTCGCGTTCGCTCGGAACCGTTTCGAATTCGAGGATATTTTTATTTAAACGGGACCATCTAAAAAAATATGCCTGCGAAAATGAAACTGAAACTACCCCGTGTATCGCAGTTACCATTTTTCACCCTACCACTCCTCGAATTTAACTAAACAGAGCCCCCTAACGACATTCGAAAATTAGAACGGTAGAAATAACAAGCCGACAATGATACATTTCAAAGATATTTCGAACAACGTGTTTCGCTGTCGAAAAAAATAAGAAAAAATATGCCTATGAAACTGAAACAACCCCCGTGTCGGGATTATTCTCCTCTCTTCCGCCCTTCGCGTTCAATTAAATAATCCCCGATAAATTAAACGAATCATTCAATTCCCTGCCCCGTAACGAAACTCGAAATTAAAACGGGAGTTATAATAAGCCGTCCCTCGGGAAATCCGGTCAACGGGGAGTTGACTGCGTAACCCCGATCCCGTAAAAAACGCGGAAAAAAAGCGGTCGTACACGGAGCCGGTCGGTAGACAGCCGTCAGCCTTCGTCGTGCGACAATGTAACCGACGAAAAAAACATCTGGGACTAGGGAAAAAAATCTGCGACCGGTTACGCCTTTAGCGATCGCCGTATACGTTGCGCGGAAAAATTCATTAGCCGATCCAGATCGAGAAACGGCCGAAAGGGGTTCACGATCACACCCTTCTCTCGTCCCGTAACGAACGACGCAACGGTAGGACAATGAGCCGCTCTCTCCCCT